TGGAGGTTCTGTTGTGGGGTTTGTTGTTGAGATTGTTGATGAAGGAGGAGGGGGAGTTTAGAGATAAGGCCATGGTGATGGTTTGATGAAGTGGTATCCAGTTTCTTTTTTAATGGATTTTTTTGTGGGTTTATTTCTTGGAAGGTGAGATTGGAGATGGGAGTTTTGAGAGATTTGAAGAGGAAGATGAGGGTGTTGATTTATGGAGTTTGAAGTTTTGAATTTGCGAGGTGAGAGACAAAGTTGGTGGGCCCTCACACGTTTAGAAGAGGTTGGAGGGAAGTGCTTCGGAAGATCCGGCATCGGGGAGGCGCTACAAGCACACCACCGGAACACCCTCAGCCACACTCCCTCTCCTGCTACAGTGCAGAGGGGCCCGCATGAGATTTTTAAAAAAAATCTCATGCGGGCCCCTCTGCACTGTAGCAGGAGGGGAGTGTGGCTGAGGGTGTGTCCGGTGGTGTGCTTGTAGCGCCTCCCTGCTTTTTAAGGGTTAATTTAACTTAACCCCCTGAACTTTGACGGTTTAGCACATTAACCCATAAGCTTTGTTTGTTCCACTTAACCTCCTTGAACTTTGTTTATCCTCTTTGAACCCCAAGCGGAGGGGTTTTGTGCATAATACCCTGAATTTTGTTCGTTCAAATTAATCTCCCCGAACTTTGTTTATTCCTCTTACTCTCCTAAACTTTGGGGTGTCTAACATAATCCTCGAGCTTCAGGGTTCTCTCAGCAAATCCCCATTGTCGTTACCAATTAATGGTGAAATGACATAAACTCCGCTTCGGAAAGGGTAATTTTTAGTAAACTGGTAGGCGTTTCATCCTTTTCTATCACATTTTTGGCACGTGAGCTGTCAAAATTAATGGTGTTAACTGAAAAAGCAAAGCTCAAGAGTCTTTTATGCAAAGCCCTCAAGGTTAAGGGGAGCCAAATAATTATCCCACAAATTGCGGCGAGCTCTTCTTTTTAGTTCTAGTTGACTAGCCCTTTTTAAGATGATATTTGATGGAATGCTGATATTGGTAAGTATAGTTCGACTGGTCATCTTTTTACTGCTGATATATAAACTGATTGCTTAGTGAAAACTGTCAAATGTGAAATAGATTTTATTTGATGCATTGAGCGTATGCTACTCGTACGATAGGTCAAGTATGTCTTTGGAAGTTTGTTTTTTGAAGAAATTTTCAAAATCGCCTCAACAGAATTTTTTTAAAGAAATTGACTCAATTTACTTTTAATTATAGAAATTGACCCACTTTGAGTTAATTGCGGTAGCCTAATTATAAACGGGGTCAAAGAGCGGGGAAGGTTTGCTGTTGCTAATTAGGCTACTAATTAGTCGGGGTTGGCAACCCCGACTAATTAGTACCGTAATTAACTCAAAGTGGGTTGATTTCTATAATTAAAAGTGAACGTGGTCGATTTCTTTAAAAAATTCCGTTAAGAAGATTTTGAAAATTTCTTCTTTGTTTTTTTTATCAAAGAAAATTAATATAGTCGGAATCGTGTAACTCTTCGTCAACCAAGGTTACTTTCTTTTCATGTATGAGATTCTATGTCACAGACTCACAGGCTCACAGCTATATGAGCACGTGCGTATGATAGAAGGAACGTGGTAATTTGCTACTCAGTGCGATATCCTATATTAAGGTGGTCTCTTTTATTGGGTTTAAAAGGATAAAAACGTTGATAGGTTTACTTTCTTGATTGTGGATAGACCCCTTGTAGTTCTATTGTTAAAAATAGATCATTTGAGTGAACTATTTTGGACTCTTTTTTTTCCTTAGGATATCTTTATGTCATAAGCAACCGATCCTCTTTTCTTCAAACATAAATTGAAGAAAACCTATTTAGTAACTAAACTAGAACGTAAATTTATTTTCATATAACTGAACTAGAACTTAAAATTGATTTTCTTCGGCCAATTTTTAGCTTAAATCAATCCAGAATTGGCCTAGCCATCCTCTGTTCATATAACTAAACCTATTTAGTAACTAAACTGGTTTATCGCCGCTTTGTCCGAATAATGTTTAAGTGACTTAAAAAGAGATCCCCTTCGCTCATTCCCTGTTGGGATTATGGATAAGGGTGAGGAATATGGCTATGATTAGATGCTCTTGGTAACTTTAACCTTTTTTGTTAAAATGGTTGGATTTGGTTGTGGCAACAAACAAGCAAAGCACAACCCCACACAGAGCCTAAGCCATAGCAACCTGTGTTGATCGGTGCAACATTTGAAATTTATTTTGTCCGGTTGCCTCTCCTCTCCCTCTCGTGTGGGCCTCCTCCTCTCGCGGAACACTTGCCACTATTCCCATCTGACGTGGCAATGAGCGGGACAAAGTTCGAAGGCTTGTGGCTGTAAATATTTCTCATCTCCAATTTTATATTTTCTTATCAAAGTGTTACTTTAGTCAAGGACATGAACCTATCAGGACCAGCCACGTGTTAGGGTGGGCAAATTACATTTAACATGAGGTGGGCCATTGTGCCCGGGCCATTACAGCAAAGTCTGGCCAATATATGTTGTGTCAATTGAAATATTTTCACAAAAACCCGGATATTTGTTTAAGCGGAACACTTTTTTGAAAGTGAGATATTTTAATGAGGTAATTAAGAATATTTTTTTAAATGGGATATTTTGATAGAATAAAATGGGATAGTTTGTGATAAACAAGAATTATATGGCTTATATATTTTGATGATAACTACTATTTATATATTTTAAACATATTATTATTTTTTATTACTTGTTTACTATCATATTAATTACCATTGAATAACCGGTTAAGCTACAAGATCTTCTTAATTATTATAATAATAATTAAGAACTTTTCAGATTTTTTGAATAATTATTACAGTAAAAGGTAAATTTTTTTTAAAGTATATCAATTTCAGTTGTTTTTAAATAAATTGTGGATCTATCATTCCTTACTTAGATTAACTAGTGTAGTGCACGTGTGTTGAGCATGGACAACTTGTTTTATGTTATGAGATATATGAAAAAAAATGCTCTAACTTATATATTGTGACGTCCGTGGTTTCACACAAGACTGGAGTCCAAGATGAACCCAAAGATGTCAAACCTGCCATGCACCTACACAGTGCAACAACACATTTCACCATCACAGTAATATATCTCTAGTGGAATCAAATACAAGAAGTGCAGGTACAAAGCAGATAGATTAAGATAAAAATGCAATGAACATGATATAGAGAAAAAGATATCCAAATAGTTATAATCATGTTCCAACTGAATAAAATGAAGTACAACTGATAAACTGGAACAAATGTGAAATATCTCAATACATAGAGTCAAATGAAATAGTACCAAGGCACTCAGCCTTTTACAAAATAAAATATAACTCTAAATGTCTGAAAATAAACAATATCTAATATGGAGTACAAATAAACTACTAATATAAATAACTGATGGTGAGCTAAACTGAGTCTTCATCAACCTACGACTCTCTATGCGCCTGACTCGCTGGCTGAAAAGAGGGAAAATAACGAGCGTCAAAGCGCTAGCGAGATCATCTCCACCTCCCCCAGGGGGAGGGGTGTAGGAGTATATGAAAATACAGTTAGTACATATAGATATATATAAATCATCTATCCTGAACTAAGTAGAAATTGTCAATTAGAAATCCACAACACAAGAATTAGTACGTAGAGTGAAATAGTACAAAAAAGGAAACCCTCATATATATACCATGTCTCAAATTGTGAATCACTAAATATCAATTCTAAATCTTATGAACAAAAATAAATAATAAAGAACGACACACTACCGAACCTCATCCAAAACAAATCATGTTATAATATCTCACACCACCCTCGGGTAGTTGGGACAAGAACAAAAATAAAAATTCGTCTAAGATACGTCATGTATGATATAATGCAGCCTCATATCCTACTCTTGAAAAGGCAACATAGGAGCAAATCACAATCTCAAATACTCTGCGGAAAATAGGCATATCAGTCCAAACCCGGAAAACCAACAATGTCTCGGACACCCTGTGGAGAATAGGCATATCAACTTAACCCGGAAACAATGATGCAACATAGAGTGTCGTTCAGTCGCGGTCTCATTGCGAGGTATAAACTGACGCATTCTGAGTGTAGTCCAGCCGCGGTCTCATTGCGGGAATACTGACTAACCCCGTTCACGCATCCACAACTATCGAAAAATAAAACAAACTCAAAATGGTAGATTGCACACCTCCTATAACTCGTCCGTGCCCAACACAAATACGTATATACACTCATAGTCACGTGCATGAATCTACGTGCAACTCATACTTTGTGGTCGCGATCAAACAAACACGGGAAACACATCATATACAATTAGCCATACATCGATTGACCGAAGCATGCTTTCGGTCGACCGGCGGCGACGTGCACAACGTGCACACGCGATCCAGCCTGGATCGGTCAACCGACATCCTTCGTTCGGTCGACCGACCAGAGCAGAAACTGAGGGTGAAAATTTCAGGTTCAGGTTTTCATCTACAAATCATCAAATCTAGATTTTTACATAAAAAAATATTTAGTCTTGTTTAATGTGATTAGGGTTCAATTAATTACATAAAACTCAATTATCAAGCTTGAGTGATTTCTATTAACCCTAACATAATTACGTTCGTAAGAATCATCGTGAAAAACCATAAATCTCAACAAAATCTCATGTTAAACTTATTTCAGAACTTGAATCCAAATCAAAAAAATTGTTTTATAACTTTCTAAAATAAAAATATTAAATCTTTGTATCTTATAGTTTAAAAGAACAATCTTTATACTTAAACTAGGTTTTAAAGTCCAATAAAACTAAGTAAAACAAAAAAAGCCATTAAAACAGGGATAAGATTGGAGGAGATGCAACTCGCCTCAAGAACGTGTTGAATTCTCCAAAAATGCAAGAGAAAAATTCTCCTTCGCCAAACGCCGACGATCTCACCCTCTTCTCG